ATTTTCAAAGTTTATTTAATTATTTATGCTGATCAAATGACCAGTCGTAAATGACCAGTATCCATGAAATGAATAAAAAATAATCAATTAAGCTCGAAATATCTAATTTTTTTTTAATGAGTATATATTTTTTAACAGTTTTAACATTTAATTAAAGTAAAATTTGATATTACTAGAAATTATTTCGTAGTCTAATATACAAAAAAGGCTTTGATTCATTGCAAATCATAAAATTTTCATAAAATTCGATCTTAAAATTTCAAACAAAAATTAATTTTAGCTGCAGAAATGAATTAAATCTACGACAAATTAAAAATCTTATTAATTTTGCTTCTCAAATATTAAAAAAAGCTTAGTTATTGAAATTTATTTTCATATTTATGTTGTCAGTTGACCACACCGTAACTGACCGTTATCCATGCAATGCATAAATTTAATCAATTCACTTCAAAATAACTAATTTTTTTTAATGAATTGACATTTTTTAATAGTTTTAACATTTAATTAAAATCAAAATTGATAAAACTAGAAATTATTTCCTCGTTTAATATACAAAGGAAATTAAAAAAATTTTCACCATAATCAATTTTTAGATTTGAAAAAATGCTTAAGCCTAAGCCTAAGCATTATTTTATTATTTAAGATGTCAAATGACCACAATGTACGTGATAGTTCCCGCACTATGCGTATACAATAATCAATTTTTTTTTATTAAATGATTTTTTTTTAATACTTTTAACATCATTTGAAATTAAATTTTGATAATAGTAGGACTTCTTACCTAATTTAGTATGCAAATACCCGTACAAATTATGGGATTTTTATAAATTATGGTATTATTTAAATTCGAAATATAAATTAATTTTAATTGTAAGAATGAATTAAAATCGTGAAAAATTAAAAATTTAATTAATTTCTAAAGTTTATTTTATTATTTTTGCTAGTCAAATGACCACGGTGTGTGTGACCAGTACCTTGCAACGCATAAAATTCAATCAATTAAGTACAAAATATCTATTTTTTTAATGAACTGATAATTTTCAATATTTTAACATTTAATTAAGATTAGTTTTTGATATTGCTAGAATTTATTTTGTAGATTAGTAAGCAAAATTCTAAATTCCATAGAGCAACACAGTGACACACAGCGAAGATAAAGTATATATAACTCTAAAAGATTTTAGTAGTAGTGAAGCTTTATAACTGTATTCTTAAGTTAAGAAGGTGCTTTCTACATATTTTTTTCTATTGTACTGCTTTCATTTCATCTATTTTAGTACTAAGTTCTAATATTTTAGTCGCAACACAAGACACCGCCCATGCTATTGCTGCAACTACAACTACTGTTGCTATTATAGGATAGCCCGAATGCGACTTGCGACTGTTTCAGTTACAAAAAGTGCTGTTGCTGTGCAGTACTATTGTTAAATCAAAAGACATTTTACTCTGTTGGTCAAATCGCTTCATTCTCTCTTCAGACCAAAGATTTCACCTCTTAATTATGTAGTGACTTTTGTTAAAATCGCTCGGGATTTTACCATCATTATTCTCTAACAAAACATTTACTCTTTTACCTATTAAAGTCTTAATTACTCCTTTGCAGCTATATCGAGTATCTGTGCACCCTTGCTTGCTTGATACAATGTAAACAAGGAGTGCGTTTGTCTTTATCTATTGCATTAGCATTTGCTCCCGCTGCTATTAAAGTTTTTACTGTCTCTGTATCGTCAGTAAAATGTAAATGGGTTATTCCATATTTATCTGCTGCAGGAACATCTGCTCCTCCTGCTCCTATTAGGACTTTTTCTAATCTCTTTACGACAGAACTGAGTAGCTATATGTGGAGGAGTGCATTTATCTTTATCGTCTGCATTAACATTTGCGCCTGCTTCTATTAGAGTCTCCGTTGCCTGTGCACCCTTGACACAATGTGAAGGAGTGCATTTATCTTCATCATCATCTACATTGACATTTCCTTCTAACGGATTTTTCACTGTAGCAATATGACTTCTTAACAGCCAAATGTATCTTTGTCCACTGCATTAATTAATATCAATTCCTTCCACCCAAATAAAGCTTTCACCACACTTTTTAGATTATTGTGAACAGCAAATGCAATAGTCCATTTTTCACTGCAAATAAGTGATTTACATCAAAATTAGTTTCCTTCCATATGTACTTAAATCCATTTTTTTTAAATTCTCTTTTATTTTTGCAATTGCGTTATCTTTACTTAATTGTTTCCTTATCGATTGCACTTAATATTTCTTTCCATTGTTCATATTCAATTGTCATCCCTTTTTAAATAATGTTTTAATTATCGTGGATTACGACAAAAAAGCCAACTCATTTTTTTTTTTCTTTTTTTGAGAGAAATTGTTATTTGAATGAATGCGTTGGTGAATTGTTACGCTACTTGAATGAATGCGAGACAAGCATCATGATAAAATTAGTTAAATTTTTAATTAAATGAAGAAGGCAAAAGAAACCCTGGGTTAATATCGAATAGATATTAATATTTATCAAATACACATCAACATTTCAGTCCAATCATCGCTCTCTGTTCCACCAACTCCTGAGTGGATTTCTAAAAGCAATCAGTATTATCTGCTCCACCAGTAAATAAGAAATTTGTTTCTTTACGCTTGACTAATTTCTCTGATTTTAGTAATTCATTTTCAATTTCAGAGAAAAACTCTTCATCGTTTTCATCAATAGTGGATTTCATTAAACTGATAGCATCGTTATAATCACTTTCTAGCTTTGAAAACGACTCTCTATCATTCTTAATTTTAGAATATTCGTTTAAAATTCTTGTCCCTCTTGGCTGTTTTGCGATAGATTACCATCCACAGTTTGAGACTACAACTTTTGGAGGCGCAATTTTGACACTTCTTGATAAAAGAAATAATCATGAGGTGTCAAAATTGCGGTGTCAAAAAAATTTTAGCTAAGTTCTGAAAATACTCAAGGATTTTTAGATTTTCATTATGCTTTAGATTCTAATATATTTATTATTAGCAGCAATAACAGTACACAAAATAGAAATTTAACCATATAATAGTTAAATAATGATAAATAATTGAAGGAAATTTTAAATTATGAAAGGAAGATAGATCCTTCAGAAACCTAGTACCATTTTTAGGACTTGCAGGTTCTGATACTCTAGCTGGAGTGATATCTATGTGGCATGGTAATAGCTCTCATGCTGCAGTATTTGATAACAATAAAGATTTGATAGATTTTTCAAAAGCAAGAGTATTTGGCTTGAAATGGCTAGCTTACTGAAAGATCCCGTTGCTCTTGGGTTGGTCTTGACTTATTATTTCACAGGATTAGTATATCTCTTGATGGCACTCCATCTATTATCGTCCTTAATGAGGTATGGACATTAATATATAATCCTCTTTTTGCATCTAAGATAAAGGACTGGTTGAAAGTGATGAGAAAATTAAATGCCTTTGTGGTTTTTGCTATTCAGAGCGTTGAAGATGCAAGCAAAAGTACTATTAGTAATATAAATGTACAGCAAACATCAACACAGATTTTTTTGTCAAATCTAAAAGCTACTAGTGTCTACCGAAATGTTTTCATGTTGACTGAACGCGAGTACATACTAATCAAGCACACAGATCCAAGTACTAGATTTTCCCTTGGTCAAACAAGGGATTAATGCTGTGGTGGCGAGAATAGACTTAAAAGGTTTAGATGATATAGTCAACACATTATGGACGTGCAGAGAGTGTCATACTATTATATTAAAAGAAGTCGGGGAGGATCCAAAAGTATGGTTGGTTTTTTATTTTATCAGAAGTAAAAAATGTTTAAGACTAAGCTGTCATTACGATATTTTTACTAGATATAGATTTTTCACTCTCATGTGCAGTACTTGCAGACAGAGAAAGTGGCACTGATAAGACGAAATTGTTAGCAGATTTAGTTCTGTTGCTAGCATTAGTCATGCCTCTAACCCTGACTATTGGACTTTGAAAACAGTTGCAGCTATTGCAAGAATAGCAATTACGGTGGTGAAAATCCCTTCATATCTAATTCAAAATTTCAAATATGATTTGTTAGCTACGTCCATAACGTTTCACGGTTCACCATTTTACCATTTGCGATTTTCCTTCTTTTAAATGTTATGAAAACTGTTATCCTCTCTATGATTAGACTGATCGGAAAGCAGAGTTGACGGCGTAAGCGGATGTGAGCAGTTAAGTTAGAAAGTATAAATTCTACCGAAACTTCTTCGAACTAAAATAAAGACAAGCTTTAATCTCATTTACCTGAATAACACAAAGGAAAGTACAGTTTCGGAAACAAAAATATTACTGTGAGCTATGTTAATGTTATTTCTACATGTATTTCTATTAAACGACCATGACCAACGTCTCATTCTTATCGAAATCATCATCATCAATCATTCTTTTGTTTCTTTTTTGTGTCTTTTTGTTTTGGTTATCAATCGATTGGTTTTTATGAGAAAGGAATGGCAATCGATATTCCTTCTCTTGGAATTTTCTAGAAAACTTTCTCACAATAGGTTAGATTATTGGTGTGCGGTGGTGTTCAGCAAGGATTTAATTCAACTGTTTTACTCTTTGACTTTTAAAGTGTTAGATTTGTTGTAATAATAATAATAGTATTCGTCATTTTATTTATTTATACCTAGAATGTATTGTATTTTTAATTAGTTTATATTGTTTATTTTTTGACTCCTTCGTTTCATTTTCGTATTTTAAAGTTTATTTTTAAATTTGGCATTGTTGATTGCATTCTCACTTTCTTTTATTTATTCGTTATTTCTTTCATAATGTAGCGTTGATTCCATTGTATTGTTTTTTAATGCAAAATATGCTGTCACTAAGATGATCCCTTATGATCTTTGGCATGTATCAAATTTATGAACTGATGAACTTGCCTGCAACTGGAGAAGTCATATGGTGCAGATAGTTCTGTTTTGTCTAGAGGTAAATAATTTTGTGCTCATCACTATGCGATTATGGAATGGTTCGACGAACAGATAAATGCCGGAATGTAGCAGTACAGCGATGGTAATCGATCGGAACAGACAGTGCTGTAGTGGGTTCATCGTAGCTAGACAGTACTGCCAGGGTGAGTATGCCAGCCAGCCAGCCAGCCATTGAGTCAGCAACGCACATTGTACTACGTGTCGCGGAGGTTTTATCTACCAGCAAACTATAGAAAATGAAGTCGCCCATGCCAAGACGAACTGATGCTGAAATTTGCATATTTACGAATTTTAGTTTAAATTTAGCATCATATAGTACGCATTATTAAGCATTCTGAATTGTGGGATGATTGGCTTGATGATTGCGTGATGACTGGTCAGTTGCCGAGCTAGCAGGTCAAGAAAATGATGTGGCAAGAAAATAATTCCCATAGAAAAGTATTTCGCAGTATTTCCTATAGCCTTACCTTTCTGTCGCGTTATGCTTGAGGAAATTAATTGAAGAAATTTAGATAAAGTTTTGAGCAGATAATACTTATTTGATTGCTCTTATTTGAAAAAAATACTTATTTGAAAGAAAAAACATGTTAATCACATTGATAACGGCGAAAAGAATGGAGCGTTCTGAAGGATTTGTAATCAGAATGAGCTTTTCCACTGATACGTCGCAATGGACCGATGGGTGCAAGCACTGCGAATGCATCTGAATGCTTTCTTGTATTCGATTAGGAATCAATTCAATCTCTTTATGGAATAATTAAGATTAGAATATTTTATCTTCTCTAAAAGATAAAATTTATCTCTTTTCTCAAGTCTTTCCCCTTTTCTGGTCATTTTGATCGGCGATCTAATTTGTTGCAATGATCGCATTCATACGATTCTGCAACTGTCCACAATCTCATATGCACTGCTTACAGTCAGAGAGGGTTTCACAGAAATATTACTTAGATGGTACAGCGAACTCATCAACTTACCCCAAATAATAACGAACTCATCAACCCAAAGCATACCAATACAAACCACGCAGTATGTGTAGGGAACATTCGAAGGTAAAATACAGAAACCAATGAACAGTTGCAAATGACGTAGAATTGATGCATGTAAAGAGGAGTTTTTTTGGTGAAGAATACGAGGATACCGATGGTACCATATGTAATAACAGTAAGTGTTGTGAGTATAGGAGGGGCGGTCTGGAAGCCAATTGCTTTGAATAAGTCTCTGAAATATCTTACTATTCTTATGATCAATATGATAAAGGATAGATTAAGGATAATATGATAAATGATAGTTAATGACATAATTGGGCTAATGTCATCTGAAATTCACTGAAGAGAATTCCTTAACTTTTTAACTCATTAGCTTCTAAACTGCGACATCTCTTGCTTTTCAGTAAATTGAAGAGTTAAGTTCACTGACAAGAAATATTTTATAAAGCGTTCTCTGAAGGCAGTGACAATGAGCACTTGTGGTAATAACGCAGTTTGTTGCACGAATGTATTTTTTATAAAGTGACACCACTTTGTACATCGTTCTGATGCAATTAATTAATAATTGACGCTATTTGATTCAGCCTGCCTCTTCCGGATTTCAGATTCAGGTACAAGTTGCAGTCACTCTTGGTTGGATAATCTTTACCGGTTGTTATTCTGATTTATGTTTGTAATTCGGCTTTTAGTGCAAAATTTATTATAGCTAGCATCAACACGCATCCGATTCCATTTATCTGTGAATTTAAACATACTACGTAAAGCGATTCGAGCTACTGTGAGCTAGAAACATATTGATTGGAAATTGTTCCAGAAGCAGTCTCAAGTTCCATTTTTGCATGACATTCACCAAGATCAATCCCCCTAGAGAATTTGACCGGCGAATCTCAGTGATCTCAATTACAATTGCAATTATTCCGCAGCATTCGACAAGCCTTCACTATTAAATAGATTTTTCTCTGTTTTAAATCATTACCCATAAATGTAAGATAACCAACTTATCACTTAATGTAATGACAGTGAAGAACATTCGCTGCGGTGTTTCGTTCGAATCATCAAGTAGAAGAAAGTAAAGGTCAAATGAAGTCAATAAAGTTCCATTGCTGTGCAATCCAATTTTCTGACTACTTGCAAGCTTTGAGAGCTCTAGCCATCCCGTCGACGATTTCATTTTCGGTTGTATGATTATGGACCGGATCGAACTTATAATAGAAGACAGAATTCGAATCCTTTTTGGTATGATATATACCAATTCAAACAATTAGCGTTAACGTTATATTAAGAGTGACAGGAATCAACAATTTCTCAACCTGAAAATACATCTCACTATCTCCCCAAACAATATTTGGCTGTAATTTCAGTTCAAGTGTAGCCAGTCGCTCCATGGTGTATTTGCAAATGATACTCGACAGTGACAACTATCACTTCATTTCATATGCTGTAACACCATTTAAATCCCTCTCATTTCTCCTCCTCCTGTTCTCCTTCCACCTGTATCTTCTTTTTGACATTTTCAGATTTAAGCAAAAACTTGAAAATCAAGCGCAGTCTCACCTCAGCGCACGACAATAAAAAGTTCACCGACTGCAAAGCGCCCCTACAGAGAATAAAGATGGAGTTATTTTTCCTTCTCACTCTATTAAACCTGTCTTTCATCTAGCTACATATTTTGTAAACTTTAATTTTAAATAATTTGCATAAAAAATATGTATGGGTATGATTTCCTCACCGTCTGAACTCTCTAAATTTCTCTTATATTTCAAAGAGATATGACCACAGTTATCACATCGTAATACCACGCATAATAATGGATGCAGAAAGCAGCTGACTTGCCATCCTCTCACTCAATCGATGACTAAAGCACTTATGGGAGCAACAGCTTGTGACAATTGATAGGATTGGTGGTTACTGTGAACCGTAGTGCTGGGACATTCGTATTGAAACAGTCGAAATGGGTTCAATTAGAAATTTAAGTTGAGCGACCGAATCATAATATTAGCAAAATCAAAGTGACAAAGTTATGTTGAAGAGAACGAAATTGTGTACAATAGAAGTGCTGAAACAGCATTCTAACATCTGACTAAATCACTTAGTTGTAAAGCCAAATGGAGATGGAAGCGAATGTCAGCTAGGATCTTAATTATTTTTTAGAAAACAGGAATTCCATGTTTTTTTTTTTTATTTTCGGACTCCAGAAAGAGCTGTTGTAATCCAATCTAAGAACAGTTCATTTCATAACTTCAATTGTATTTCTCATCAAATGATTCAAAATGAATGCAAATGAGTGTTATGATGTAATGAACTACTTATCTAATTTTCATCTTTGTTTTTAACTATCAGCTTATCATCAATGGTTAAATACCAAAAACCGATTCACACATTTTCACTCTGATAACTAATATTTAAGGTTTTCCTTTTTTGTTCAGGTAACTCTCTTCACAATAGTATTACAGCATATCTTTGTAAATCACCCATTAGGAAGAGTTCGTTATCTAGTTCTTTCTTCATTTATAGTTCTACACAATAACTTTTTTCATACTCTCGGAGCTTTTGCCTTGACATCTTAAGAACTCTCCTAAACTACAACTCAAGCAACTCCTTAGCAAATACCATTCAAACCTTGAAACGGTTTCTTCAAACGATCAATGATCGTCTATTGACTAATAATTATCATATAATATTACCATCCATCTTCCATAAAGAACGAACCTTTACAATAATTCTTTGTGAGACACCAAATTACTCAAATCAAGAAACTTCCATGACAAATTTGATGCTACGAATCGGGAAGTCAACAGCTTAATTAAAAGTCCTTCATTGTGAATGGATTATATCTCGAGTTGTGTAGTCTGGATTTAGCGACGAATGCTAATTCATAGTAACTTTTGTATAATTCCAAATTTTTTTTAACTTCTCTTCATTGACTTATTTTATATCTTGTTCTTAATGAACCATTTCTATATAAATTTCTTCTTTCCTTTTGAATAGAATCGAGAATGTTCATAACTGATTCAAGAATACCACGGTTAATTGATATATATATATATCCAAACAATTATATATATATATCCAAACAATTAGTAGTAGTAGAACAAAGAAATATATTCTAAAAGTATTTTTGTATATTATCTATATATATATATATATATATATATATATATATATCCAAACAATTAGTAGTAGTAGAACAAAGAAATATATTCTAAAAGTATTTTTGTATATTATCTATATATATATATATCCAAACAATTAGTAGTAGTAGAACAAAGAAATATATTCTAAAAGTATTTTTGTATATTATCTATATATATATATATATATATATCCAAACAATTAGTAGTAGTAGAACAAAGAAATATATTCTAAAAGTATTTTTGTATATTATCTATATATGTATATATATATAGATATATATATATATATCTAATTATATATATATATATATATATATATATATCTAATTCTTTTATTTCCCTGGGAAGTCCTAGGTTTTCTGCTATTCCTGAGCTCTGGCCGCTGTTTGTCATATTTTTTCTTTAACCTCCTCGCTTGATAGTTTATGAATGCTCTTTTGAATCCGGAAGGAAGTGTTACAATAGCGCGTACGTAAATCTGATACTTAGGAAGGATATTGTTCCATCATTTCAGTAATACGACCTGATGAATAAGATTCTAATCATTTTCGATGCATTTAATGGGTTCATTTAATAAAGTAGCATCTTCACATCTATTGATAGTATCACCGATGGGAACTTCATCGGATGGAAGCATCACCTGAAATTTGCTAATTATTGCTTTTTGACATACATCCACTGCTATTATCAGAAAGAATTTCAACATAAGCAATGTTTGATGTTTGAAACAAATTCTAGAAGTTTGGTTGACAAAATGGAGTAACATTTGCATAAAGGGAACTGATGAATAGCTGGGATTAAATGTCATCGTATGGTGAAATATTTAATCAGTTGTGCAGTATTAAATAATCCTGTCTGCTTTGTTTAATAAAATATAGTTTATTGAAGGTAAGTAAAATACTGAATGAATTATTTGCATTTTGAAAAAAGTTTCAGTTTTAAATTTTGGTGACGTAAATTAAATGACAATTGGAAATATGTTGACTTATTTCCAACATTTATTCTTAGGTACTGCCTGGTAGCTTAATGGCATTTTAATTGATCATATCTAATTCCATGATCTTTCTTCCCATCTGTTCTTCTAAACTAATTTCTTTACCTAATAATTAAGTTAATAATATTCCATACATATGTTTTTTTTTTTTTTTTTTTGCAACAGTAATTCCATTAATATTTGAAAATATATTTGTTTGTTTAATCAAAAATTAACTGATAATACATTACTGATTGAAGTGATGAATTTAACTCCTATTTATTGTGACATTTGTTTTTTTGTTAAAAAATTACGAATAAATTTGTTGAAAGGAATTTTCAAATCTATCGTCCAATTTTATTGTGATGATTAAGTGCTAATTTTGCTGCCAGACTATGTCACCAAACAATTAAAAGTATAAGAGTATGATAATGGTTAATTTATTCATTATATCAGGTAAGTTAAAATAGGGTATAACAATCAGTACTTCAGCATTTGTTTGAATGACCAAAGTAATATTTTTTAATATTTACTTCTTTTCTCTTTTGGTGATTTGAGTACTTTGTAAATAATAATAAAAAAATGAATTGGGTCACGATTAGCTTTGATGCACTTCAGTTTTTCTTTTAATTTTAAATTGCAAATGAATTTTACCTACTTACTTTAATCACCAATATATATAGAATTATAATTTTCACGAGATATGGCTTAAAGATATGGAAGATTACTTACTTCAGCATTGTTTAATACTTCGTAATTACGATTGCACCATTTTTTGTTTCTATGTAGATCATAAGAGTGATTAATGGTAAGCCAGTTACAGCAAAAAACTTATTCGGTGGTAGACTAAAAAATATTATTGTGTGTTGACAGAATAGGTGTCAAAGTCGAATCATAAGCGATTTAGTAGACTGCAGACAAATTGCAAAATGATTCGATGTGTTAAGTGCTAGGCTTTTCTATCAATTTGTAAAATAATAATAGTTTTTGAGCAAATTTTCACTTAGTATATATCTTAATCATTTTCTCTTTATTCTCATCGTAGATAAATTGTTTTTATAAAGATTTGAATCTTCGTCATTTACTTTTTTAAATTTTTCAGTGCTAGAAAATCTCTCGCGATATTAAAACATCAGTTGTTACGGTATATGCTAACTGCCTGCCACAGGACTTTTGTCATATACAAAAGGCACTGAGGTTAGAAAAATGTCGCAGCATTTTCTGAATTGTATATTGCTGTACCATGGTCAGCGATGTTTTAAACCATATTTCCATATACATTATGTTTTAAATTGAACGATTTTAAATATTGTTTTTCAAATTTTAAAAAAAATTTGTGATACTAACGAATAGTAGAACTTCTTACCTAGTTTTATCTGCAAATACCCGCATAAATTATGGGATTTTTGTAAATGTATTATTTAAATTTGAAATAAAAATTAATTTCAATTGTAAGAATGAATTAAAATCGTGAAAAATTAAAAATTTAATTAATTTTGCTAATAAAATATTGATTGAAACTTAATTTCTAAAGTTTATTTTATTATTTTTGCTGGTCAAATGACCATGGTGTGTGTGACCAGTATCCATGCAATGCATATAAATTAATCAATTAAGTTCAAAATATCTATTTGTTTTAAGGAATTGAAATTTTTCAATATTTTATCATTTAATTAAAATAAATTTTTGGTATTATTAGAATTTATTTTATAGTTTAACATGCAAAATTCTAATAAATTATTGTTTTTTCATAAAATTTAAAATTTGAAATTTGAAACAAAAATTAATTATAATTGCAAGAAAGAATTGAAACCGTTACAAATTAAAAATTTAATTAATTTTGCTATCAAATATTGATTGGAACATAATTTTTAAAGTTTGATTTATTATTTATGTTGATCAAATGTCCAACCGTAAATGACCAGTACCTGTATAGTGCATAAAAATCAATCAATTATGTTCAAAATATTTACTTTTTCTAATGAATATATATTTTTAACAGTTTTAACATTTAATTAAATTGAAATTTGACAACACCGGCATTTATTTCATAGTTTAATATGC